TCATTTGGTCGTCGTTATGCATTTTATTATATAATATTATATATTTTATAGAAATTATTTTGATATAAAGGTATATATTTTATATTTAATAATATATTTTATAAAAATATAGTAATATATAATATATAAATATATATATATATATTATTTATTGAATATTAATTTATTGTGAAATTTAGATTGATATTTATATATTAGTTTTTTTTATTTTATTTTTAATTTAGGAATTATGGATATTAATGGTTTCGAATTTATTTTTGATTATTTTATGGTTGGCATGAGGATTGTTTTAGATGTTTTATTTTTAATTAAAATGTTAAGATTATAATGCATTTTTATTAATATGGCACGAAGCTTAATAAAATTTGGGTATTGATTGGTTTCGCATATGTTTGATTTATTTCGATATAAATATATTAAATAACCTATTTCGATGTAAATATATAAAATGCAATTTCCAAAGAATTTGTAGGAATATTTTTGGGAATATAGTTAATATAAGATAATATTATTCCATATGAAATAAATTATTTTGGGCCTATCGTAGCTTCCTCCTTAACGGCATTTCGAATTCTACTAAATAAATGATAGATATAATATTGCTTACATTTTAATAGTATTCAAAGATATCATCCAATATGTCCCCAAGAAATTATATATTATTAGTTGCATAAATAAATCCGCAATTTAGCCGTAGCTAATCGTATCGAACCTAAAAAATACTACATAATACTAATAACAATCCGACAGACAAAAATTGTTGTTATCGAAAGGTATAAAAAACATTATGTTCCCTCCATTTAAATTCAAATAATTCAAATAATATTAAACAAATATTTTTAAAAAATAACAATCAACTAAATATATATTATAAAAAATAAACCAATACATAAACAAATTGAAAATTTAATTTTATTTCATTTCATCTGCCGGCAACCGTGCTGGTTGCCCGTGTTGGGCCGCAGCTGGATTTCTCCAGGCCGGACACTTCTGGAGTGTCTAGGCACCAGGTTCGAACAGGCGTGCTTATGCAAAGCGATCGTTGAGCAATTCATCAAAACTCTTTGGCTTCATAGGCAAAGGACGTTTCCAATGCTGGCTTGTACAAGACTTGGGGATGATCCAAAGAAGGTAGATAGTGGAAGCAATGTCCGGGTCAATACCCAAAGGAAGGGCGGATCGGAAGTCATCACAAGACTTGACTGTGCCACTGTGCCAAAGAATGCTACGATAATGGCCTTCGGCGGGTGTTGCACCCAGGTGAATGACCCCCGCGGTCACGACAAAATCATGCCACTCAACATGGATGCCTTGGCGATCACTGAAAATCGGAATCTGCACGGGCTGGCTTCTATCCCATAGAACCGAACACTGGCTTTTCTGGCCGATGAAGGGAAAACGGGACACCTGAATGCAAATCCAAGGGGAGTCACATGTAAAAGCATGGACAAAAGGCTCTTGATGATGCCAGTTGTTGATCAGCTGCTGAAGGGTAATGAGACCTTCAATTGGACATGCCATAGGAACAGGAGCGAACACGTCTGCTTGATCTTCGGTGGAATTCAGCAATCGAGAGCTCCAACCCTGCTGCATATACTGCGGGAGCGTCTTTTCAAACAGCCGATGTCGAAACCATCCAGCAAATTCACCAGCATCATGCTGATCACGACTTGGATGGTTCTGGAACCAGTCTACAAGCAGGCGGCCTAGGAACTGGTCTGCACATGGGTCCACAACAACCCCTGCATGCTCAACGAACATGCTCAAAAATTGTTTCTCCCATGCTCCCCAAATGGCGGTATTGAAGGTCAAGCTCATGACGCTACTCCAGGTTTGGGCTTGCAGAACACTGTTGATATAGCAAGTGCTGCCGGAGCCACCCAGTTTGGTCTCGAGGATGCCCGTCACGATCTCCTCAATCGCTGGGAGATGGCGTTGGCTAGAGGAGAACGTTGGAGGTTGGCTCCCCTTACCCGAAGGAGGATCAACTGTGTGATTCCATTTCCAGCTAGCTTCTGAAGAAGCTGGAAGAGTTCGGATGCCTCGGCAGACCTCAGACTGAGGTCCAAGCGCCATGGTATTGCGGTCGTGGCGTCCTGAGGGAGGGTGTCCTGTTTGACCGGTCGCAAGGCCGAGAACTTGTGTATCACTCCAGGTTGCTGGCCGAGATGCGCAATTCTTTCCAATAGCGAGCGAATCTCCTCCGAGGTCAGGGGTGGCATCCGATTGGGTGTGAGCATCATGGCTTGACTGTCCCAAGAGAGATATGCCCATTTGCTGTCCTCTGTCAAGATGCCTTTGGATCTCAGATTCAATACCAATGCGTCGTCGCTTGCATCGAGCTTCAAGAGTTGAGCTCGCTGTGCAAGGAGCTGAAAGCACTGCAGAAACATGTGCATCCTCAGTGGCATGGTGGCTTCCCCTTTCTCCTTGAGCTGGTTCCATTCTTTGGCCTGGGTCAACAAAGTCGGCATGATGCTTCCTCTGCCGCATTGGATGAAGAACATAAAGCTCTTGTCCAGCTGGAGTTGGGAGATGGCATCCTCCTGCCGCAGAGTCAGGCGGGCAAGCATACGAAGTAGGTCGTCGTTTCCTCCAGACAACGTGGAGGCCGAGGATGGAGAGAATCTGGCTGCAGGACCCTTGCCAGGTCTCTGTGTTCCATCCGTAGCAACCCGTGGTCGTTTGCCAACGTTCTGTGCGCATGCATCGAGGAGATCCGTAAAGCTCTGATCGTCTGCAAACATCTCATCGGCCATCGAAACGGGAGAGTGCACACCACAGTTGCCAATCTTGGGCCAAGGAATGCTCAATCAAATGAAGAGCTTGATTGATGTCAGTCAACTGATCTTGAAATGTGTCGGACAGTGTAGTGGGCGGAACGGACTCCGGTGTGCAGTCCCTTGAGTGCCAGGCCCATGTGAGCGGATGCAGTTCATGAAGGAAGGCCACAAAGTGAAAGAACGGTCCTGTGGCAGTCTCGAGTGTGGTACATCAAAATGATGTGAAACCATGCAGATCGTCTGATGATACCAATTCAACTTGGCTTCCGGTTCAAAGGACAGGACACGACAGAATGGGTCCAGTGGCTGACGAACTAACGAACATGCCATGTCCGGAGTCCAGGTGTGCAGTTCCTCTGGGCGCAGGAGGCCTAAATGCCACGGCAAACGAACCTGATCTGAATCTGAAATGGGCTCCTCAAGATCCATGTTGTCTGATGGCATGCTCGGGGCACCAAAATGCTGATGACTGGTCCAATTGCAAAGCAAGACCGGACATGATGCACGTTGGAAATGGGTGCGCAAGGCCACTTCCATAGTGAACTGGGTGTGACAATGCTTGCATGCTAGATGACCCCTATGCATGTCCTGGACCGGATCGAAGGGAAAACCATCAGGCCTGTGGACATCATGATACTTCCGGAGATGGCTGATGAGGGCTTTACGGCCTACGTAGTCTTGACACAATGGGCATCTATACATCTTAGCTGGCTCCGGGCAGGGTCCATCTGGATGAGAAGCGAGCATCAATTTCACTGTGACCTTGGCAGGGCGAGGTTCGGATCCCGTTGGGGCAGTGGTGGACTGGTCAAGCGGACGATCAATCTGAGCATGCTTCGGATGCTTTTGATGATGAGTGATCAGTCCTGTCTCGGTCAAGAAGGTGGTATGACAAGCAAGACATTTGAACAATGGGGTTGTTCGAGCAATTTGACCAGCCCTTTCGGTGTCGGCATCAATCTCCATCGGACTCGGCCGTGTGTCGGGATGAGGCGCCAGGGGGGCCGCATCACATGGAGTCTCGGGCTTGTCTGCATTTCCTGTACCTGAGGACTGTCGGTTGGTCCGAAGCGGGCGCATCATAGTGGGCATGACAGGAAAATGCGAAACATCATATGTCTGTCCAAGCAGAATGCTAATCTGAAGCAAGACTCCACATTGATGTGTGCGTACATCATTGCATTGTTGAGCACACAAGACACACGTGCCTTTTCC